TCTAGAAACCTCACTATATTGATAATGTAATTTACCATTTTATTAACGCTTTTGATATAAAAGCGAACATACGGCAGACTTTATAATAACAACACAAAAAGAGGCATTGGCGACCGAGTCGGGTCGAGTATTGTATCTGCATATCAGTTGGGCTCCAGTGCCCGGTGGTATAATGGTATTGATTCTGTATTGACTGTTGTATGACACCAAATTACTAAGTAGAGCCATAACGTGTCGCTGTTGAGAACAAGCTATGGAGCTGTGTGGGGCATAATTAATGTCCGCATCTGGCTTGCGTATGTGTTTCTTGACAGTCATTTTAAACCCATTCCGAGATATCCGGCCAGAAGACCGGAATGGCTGAGATCATGGTTGATTTCCTAGGCAACGAGCGATGTTCCCGCTAAAACGGCTTGGAATCAGAACACATTCATTGCTCCCTCCTAAAGGTTGTTCGTCCCGAATAGCGTAACGGTACTTGCCTTTCTTTCATCCGCCCACTCCTTCAAGGGTGCTCGTCCCGAACAGCTCCATGGTACCTCGAAACACTTTCATGTTCTCGGCACGCCACAATATTATGGACAAGCATAAAGAATGTCCATGTCCTTTTATTTGAAGAAGAAGAAGAAGATACGCACGTTTAACAATTTTATTTCGAATTGAAACGTTTGACATTTCCTGAAGCAGCTTTTATCGTCTCACTTTCTTGCCTTATTAAATGTCTACGTTCCAAAACAAGGCATGGCATGAAATTTATATCCGAATAACATACTTAACAGATAATGCCACGTGTAGTGTTCGTGATTTATAAGGCGGGTTTTGGATTTGATGATTGGATTTATGGACACCTTATACATTCACATAACTCGGTACTACCGGCAATACGTGCTACTGCTGATCTACGCACATTCCAGTTCACCGTTGCACACCCACTAGGGTTCTCAAAGCTTCACTGATCATGTTCAGGCAACGGATTTATCACACTCTCACTGTAACTTAAAATCACACGTGGAGCCTTCTTGCCACAGTCTAATTCATTCCTTGCCATTATTCGAGACACAGTTCAATTCCCTTATTCCCAAGCTCATATCCTGACAGGCTGGCGTCTCGAAACTCGACTCTCCGCTCTCTGCTGCTACTGTTCTATACTCGGTCGCGTCTTCTGACTGTGTCCGTTTATAAACCCGCGGAAAATATAGCCTGTATTGTTGACGAGACGTGTTTACCGCCTAGCAATAGACGTCCTATTGCTCGCGCGGGAATGTGTTTACCGAGTCGTTGCCTAGCAATGGGTCTGCACTCCGGAATAATTTATAATTGTGTAAAAGGTAAAGTTGTCCGTATGCTTAACTTATTAAGCACTACGCCATGAAGGCGTAGGGGGGAGTGGATGTATAGATCCCCATTGTCTTAACTTCGGCACTAGTTGGAGGCGAGTGGTTAGCTTCACGCCCCTGCCGCTTTAACCCCGGGGAAAGAGCCCGTGGTATCCATTGGATAGGAGGTTGGGTGGACCCCAGAGCCGGTTTGGAAGACATGGAGGAGAGAAAATTCTTGACCCTACCGGGACTCGAACTCGGTCTTCCGGCACTTAGCCAGTCGCTATACCGCCTACGCTATCCTGGCTCCGTAACTCAAGTAAAATTTTTACAAAAAATGGTTTTGAACATCATAGCATTAGAGCAGGCGCTGAAAAACTGTGGCTCGCGGGCCGGATTCTGCCCATGAGAGCTCTTTATCTGGCTGGCGGAGCCGCTGTGAAAATTTTCCTATAATAACACTTTTAATTTGTATATATTTTTTTTAATTTCTAGCACGCGGTAGCGTAGTTGGTTGACGCACTATGATACAAACCGGAAGGTCGCGGGTTCGAATCCCGATGAGGTCGTTGGAAGTTTTTTTTTTAATTCACCTAATCCTTCCAGCCGCACTATGGCCTTGGGGTCGACTAAACAGAAATGAGTACCAGGAATATTCTTGGGGGTAAAGGCTGGCCGGCGCGTAAGGCTGACAACCTTACCGTCATCTTTGAGCCGATTGTCTAGAAAATGTGGGACCCTCAACGTCTCACAATCCTATGAGCCTTCACGGCCTGTTACAGGGATAGCTTTACTTACTTTTAGAACAGTGTAGTATAGCGCAACTTCACAGGAACGTAAGAAGTTTATTTTAGGTGATTTTTGCAACACTAAGCATTTATTAACTAACTTCATGGAACTGAGCCCTTCTTGAGAAGCCGCTAGTTGTGCAGCTACTCAAGAATTTCCCAACATTTTATGGAACATGAATGTTCATTACCGTGTTTACAACAGCACTCCGCTGCTGTCCAAATCCGAGGCCCCTTGTGACATTTCGTAAGAAGCTTATTTCTTACGGTGAGAAGTTGTTAGGCCCACTTCCAATCCCCAGCTGGAGGACCACACCTTATCGGCTGTCTGCAACTGCTTATTCAGGATGTCGCAGTTACCCTCAGTTTCTGGATACCATCTCCATCCGCAGGCTGAGGACGCGCTATGCCGTGGTGACAAGTCACCCACCTAACGTGGTAGTGGACACTTATTACGTTTATTAAAAGTACGTTACAAATATTATGTTGACCTTTTTCTAGTTTTCAAAACGCTTGCAACTCCTAATGCGACTCTTCGACTATAAAGTTTGCCCACCCCTGCACTAGAGATCCCCCCTCCGTGTAATTTATGATTCCCTACCATCAGTAATACCAAAATGGCGACTGTGCGAGCCTTTCGTGTGTGGGCGACATTAGGATGGAGTGCAGATTTTCTTTTGGGGTGTAAGGGTACCTTCATGGTCCGGGTAGTTCACTTAATGACAGGCTGGACGATTGGGAGAATAGGTATTCGTTACCCGGTGGGAGCCAGTGTGTTCAGACCTGCTCTGGGCCTACCCAAGCTCTTGTCCAATGGCGTACAGCTGACCACTCGTCACTATTTGTGCCGAAGACTGAGGAAGGCTCTGCTTTAAATCATTCATGAAGGGTGCTTATTTATTTAATTAATTAGAATGCACATTCTACGTGCAATTCTCATTCCACCGACTGCTTCACACTCATCATCATCCGGGGCTGGTACAGTAGGCCAAATATTGGCAGACTACCAAGTGGACTCAGTCTCACTCCAACTGAGACTGAAGTCTGTGTGAGAGGGGATGGTGTCATGTGACGGTATGTTCAGAATTAGAGGGTATTCTGATGTCCCATCGTTTATTTCGAAGGTTGAACGAACCCGTTGATGAAATTGAACTAGATCGTCACAAATTCGATGCAGACATGCAAGATTGAGGTGCCAATCTCTGTTAATCAGCCACTTGCCGCAAGCCTAGTCTTCAACTCGCTGTATTCACAATTACATGCCCAGATATAGTCCATGTTTAAAATTGCGTTGCTCGGTGGAACGGCGAGCCCTGGCGCGACTGCTTCCCCTACGTTCCCCTAGTTTGCATTCATTCATGCGAGGACATTTAATGCTATTCTTCATATGAAAGTCATTGTCTCGTTCGTGATGTCCAGTGCAGATAGGGAAGCATTCAGGCTGGCCACCCTGACTAGAACACTTTCCATTTACCCTACGCGTTATTATTTAAACAATATCTTAACGCCGGTCACAGTGGCCTCAAGGTCTGAAATGTCTTCTTCTGCTCAGACACTTGGATTGTGGGTTCTATTCCCACTCAGGGAATGGATATCTATGTACGTTTATTCTGTGTAGGTTCCGGCCTTGCCACAGGCTGATCACCCGTCCAGTGAGTCGTACCAACTGTCTGTAACATCCTTAGAGCTAGACTAATTCTGATGGGAAACAGGCCAGCGGACATAATACGAAAGGAAGAAGAAGAAAATATCTTACAAGGCTTGTTCTGCCACATTTTTAAATCTGAAAGCTGGTCATATTACACTACGTAATGATAAATACTCCTACGCATCGTGAAATTCTCATATCTTATATGTTTATTTTTCTTGTGCTTTGTAACACGCTGTATCAGGATAGGAAACATTGGCGTACTCTTGTGAATACGGCAGTGAACTGTTAACCCACATATATGGAGGGAGTAAATGCATGAACTTTCTTTTAGTTTTAGAAAACATTTATCAAGAGCTATCATTTTCTTCCGCAGTGAAGTGTTGAAATTTGGATGAGTTCTATCAGATCTGTCCCCATTCACATTTCATGTAATACGATAATTGCTTTTAAATTTTCCCGACATGCTTTTTTACGTAAATGCGTCGACATTTTACATATTAATATTGTCACTTCGAAAAATTTTAAGTGAAGAATTTTCCATACCAGGAAATGTTCATAACCACAATTTTATGTCCTTCATATTATTATTTATTTTAACTGCAAATGGGTTTTTACCCGGTGGCAGTGGTACTACAGTAAGACACAACACACACCACACTCAAAACACTGCACACAAAACTACACAAACAATAAAGGACACACTATACACATGTTGCTTAACATTATATTCTGCATTCCGGTAGAAGACACATTAATACAAGCTTGCTGAAAAGAAACATTAAAACTCCTACGTTTCTTACCTTATGTAGCAATAATGGAATTTTTAAAAGAGCAGACTGGACATCAGCAATAATAGACACGCTTTTAAATGCTTCACCATCATGTTTTATGATTTTTTATGGCATTTCATGACGAAATTTTTAAACAAAGTTGAGCTTCCTGTCACTCTCAATTACGGACAGTATGCTTCAGAATAGTCCAACATAGTTCACATGCTCTAAAAACAAGTGTGGCGTTCACGAGACTGCTTTTTTTTTAGTAATATATGCGTGCAGTTTACTTTGCGCGGTAATTGATCGAAAGGATCAAGGAACTTATACTGTCATAACATATTATCAATTAGCTTCTGAAATAAATTGTTTGTGTCTGCGTAGAAACATTTTAAACTTTCCAGATATGCAATAAAAATATATTTTTTATGTATGGAAAGTAAAATAAAATTACGCGTTTTCTTTGTTTCAGGAAACTCGTCGCTTATTTCGAGGTAAGTTTCTCTACTTATAAGAGCACAGGGGCACGCGGTAGCGTAGTTGGTTGAGGCACTATGTTACAAGCCGGAAGTTCGCGGGTTCGTTTCCCGATGAGGTCACTGCAATTTTTCAGTGTACCTAATCTTTCCAGCCGCACTATAGTTTTGATGTCGACTAAGCATCTAACGGAAATAGTACCAGGAATTTTCCTGGGTGGTAAAGGGCTGCCGGCGCGTAAAACTTACCTGACTGCCATCTGTGAGGCGATTGTCTAGAAAATGTGGGAGCCTCGACGTCTCACAAACCTACGGGCCTCCACTGCCTGTTATAAGGATAGCTTGTTCTTTTTTCTTTCTTTTCTTTTACTTACAAGAGCAATATATGCATAGAACAGTTAGGACACACAGAAAGAAGAGCTAAGATGATAAAAATACCAGTGAAAGTTGTTGGATATGAACAGAATACCGTATTTACGCATGTATAGGCCGCACATTTTTTGCCAAAAATTCAAGAGGAAAACTGGAGTGCGGCTTATATTCGAAATATTCGAAATCACACTTCATTTAAAAAAAAATATATTCATAATTAGTAATACAGGGTGTTCTACTCCTGAAATAATATTCCAAGAAAATTATTTTTTCTATAATTTCTGTCTGAAAATTGTGCTGCGGCCTATACACGCACGCGGCCTATACATGCGTGAATACGGTATTTTATTTTTGATTTGCAGGTACTCTGCAATGTATCTCAGACGTACTGGGCAGCAAGAAGCTTCTTTCACATAAATTACAACGTGTCCGATTAAGTATTTGCAATAGGGAGATATGTTTACATGATTCATTGATTAATAGAGTCTTCTCGGTTTCTATGGTTATGCTTCTACGTACTTATATACTCAATAAGCCAATCGAGGGCAGAAGCTTAAAGAACTAACATTAATTTAACTGTGTTAATAGCGGCACTTTCTTCAGCACCGATGTGATGGTTATACCGCCACATTCTAGTCTTCTGAAATTAGGAGGTGATGTTTATTACAGATATAATGGTTATGTCCCCATGACTCGGTCACCAGAGCCTCGTTCGTGAAAACAGCGTACACATAGATGAACTAGTAGAGGCGAATAATACCCATCAGTTTGTGTTATGTGCAAACCATTATTTCGTAGATGTTAAGGGTTCACACAAATCCATGGAAAATTTAGTACTGAACTTGTTTGACCCCGAGGCTGTCCTTAGAGACGCCCTACAGCACCCCCAGAGGGGTTTTGAATCAGCATTTTTAGAAGCCGAGGCTAACAGTGTCAGCTAATGCACTTGTCATACATGATTGTTGTGATGGTGGTGATGATAATTTGTACTCTTCGCGAAATATTATTAGGGTAATCCAATCAAATAGAATTAGACGCACGTGACGTGCAGTACCCAATGAAAAAAACGAGAAACGAATGCAAAATTTTAGTCGGAAACCTGAAGGTAGAAGAATACCTAAGAGATGTAGGCATAGATCGGATGATAATATTCAAATGAATCTTAAAATAGGATAGGTATGCGTGTAATGGGTTCGTATGTGCGATCCAGCGGTAGACTTTGCTCAACACGGTAATGAGCTTGCTGCATACATTAAATCTGGTAAATTTCTTGAACAGCTAAGCGACTCTTAGCGTCTGAAGAAAGACACTGCTCAATAGAAATTACAATGATGGTGATGACGGTGATGATAATAAATCGAGAACTCATGTTATAAATGAAAGAGCTAAATGAGATCCTGTGTTGTATTGACGTGGGTTGGATTAAACTCTCTCGAGTTACTGGAGTACTTTAATTGTAATAAACATTTGTATTGATATTAAAAGTAAGTAAAGAAGTAAAGCTATCCCTGTAACAGGCTGTGAAGGCCAATAGGGTTGTGAGACGTGGAGGGTCCCACTTTATCTAGACAGTCGGCTCATAGATGGCGGTAAGGTTGTCAGCCTTACGCGCCGGCCTCGCTTTACTCCCCAGGAAAATTATTTAATTAATTCTTGGTACTCATTTCTGTTAGAGGCTGAGTCGATCCCAGGTCCATATTGCGGCCGGAAGGATTAGGTCAATTGAAAAAAAGAAGAGACCAATGACCTCATCGGGACCTGAACCTGCGACCTTCCGGCTTGTAGCGTAGCCTCTCAACCAACTACGCTACCGATACTTCAAAATATTTTATTGCAATATGAAATAGAGCTGTACTTATGTCACTTATTAGTGGAATTGAGCGGGAAGTTGTGGGTTTATGGGGAACTGTTTAAAGGTCATGTGTTTGAAACCCTCGGAATGCGTATGTAGCTGCTAATGTTTATGGCCACACGATCGCTGTGTTATGTTCTTAACAATGCATTTACAATGCTCTTATGTGGGTTGCCTCATGGGAAGATCAAGGGCATGTGCTCTGCTATTGGCGATTCCAAGCACGTTTGCCAGCAGGAGGCTTCTTAGTTGGTTGTTTTCTTTTTTGTTTTATGACGCTGCATCAAGTATCGAGGTTATTTGTGTCAGTGAGATACGATATTGTCACGTGTATGGGGGTACGCGTGACGAAAATAACGGGTTCGAGTTCCGATAATTGGTTTTATTAGCACTTCGGTTACAATCTCTCCACCGCGCCATAGCTCAAGCGGTTAGCCGCTGGGTTCCCACCGCAACGGCCCGGGTTAGCTCTCGCGTCTGGTCAAGTGGGATTTGTGGTGGACAACGTGGCGCTGGGGCAGGTTTTCTCCGAGTACTTCGGTTTCGCCTGCCAATCTTCATTGCACCAATTGCTCCACAATCACCCTCACCTATCATCTGGGGCTGGTACAATAGGCCAGAAGTGGCCGCAGTACAAGGGGCTTAGTCCCACCCCACTGGCAATAAAAAAATACAAATTCTCTTAATCACACTTATTACAGCGCTATCGCTGATTTACGCACTTTACAGTTCACCGTTGCACACGCACTAGGATTCTCTGTCTTCACTAGTCGTATCCTGGCAACGGATATCAACACAGTAACTAACCCTTCAAATCAGTATGAAGTCTTCTTGTTATTTCGTCTTTATCACTCTGTACTCCTCTGTCCTAATCTATATTAAAGCTTCACAATTCAATAAGGACACGCTCCATTTTCGTCCTTGTACTCTCAAACCTCCTGGACTCTTCCGTGACGGCTTAATGTCCTTGACTAACGGCTTCTCGGCTATGACTGACTGCAAACGACCTTCACTGTCCTCTATACTCCTTCGGCACGGAGCCAGTAGAAAACATCTATTATTGTAGATGTGTTTACAGTTCTGTTGCTTAGCATAGAATAAACCCACACAGACAACCATGCCTCGAGCGGGATTCGACCCCACGACCCCAGTGGTCGAGAGGGCGAAGACGGTTCATGCCTTAGACCACACGGCCACTGTGATCGGCAAATTCAGTCTATAATGCTTTCCTTAATGTCAAAGACCAAATTTCACATCCATGCGAAACTCGCTGATAAACAAAAGTTGTAATTATACCAGCTAGTGAAATAAATGTTTTAGGTTGTGAATATTTCTGTATACAACGTACACATTTAGACTGTGACCAGACCTGTTTGGCACTGGGTTTGAAGTTAAACTCTTCCAGTATCAGAGACCGTCATCGGAGCTTATAGTAAGCCATTCGCGTTTTCATTACTGATATTTTTTTTTTTCAGTTGACCTAATCCTTCTACCCGCACTATGGCCCTGGGCTTCACTCAGCCTCTAACAGAAATGAGTACCAGGAATTAATGAAGTAATTTTCCTGGAGAGTAAAGCGCGGCCGGCGCGTAAGGCTGACAACCTTATCGCCATCTTTGAGTAGACTGACGTAGATAATGTGTGACCCTCAACGTCTCACAACCCTACGGACCTTCACGGCCTGTTACAGGGATAGCTTTACTTTTCTTTTTTTACCTACCACCGCCATAGCCCAAGCAGTTAGTCGCTGGCATCCCACCGCGGCGGCCCGGGTTCGATCTCGTGTGTCTGGTGAAGTGGCGCTGGGGCAGGTTTTCTCCCAGTACTTCGGTTTCCCCTGCCAATCTTCATTCCACCAATTGCTCCACAATCACCCTTACCTATCATCTGGGGCTGGTACAATATGCCAGAAGTGGCCGCAGTACAAGGGACTTAGTCCCGCCCAACTCCCAACTAGAATAAAAAAATATACATCCCATTGTTTGAGGAGCTGCCTATCAGGAGGTTTTCAGCTTGAAATGATGGAAATTAATGGATGGTTATGAAAGACGTGCCGTTGAAATTTCAACTAGTGTCTTCTTTGGCTCTACATCCAGATTGCCGCCATGACTTTGTTGCACCGAGCAGTTTGGAGTAGGGGTAATCCTCTAGACTTGTACTCGAGAGGTTCTCGTTTCGGATCCTGGCCAGGACATCTGCTATCCTGAGTAATTTCGTGGTTTTTACTAAGTCCCGTGAAGTATACGTTGGAATGTATGTGTATGTGTGTAAAGGGCGGGCCATAAAATCCAGCCCTCGCACTGCGACCTTCAGTGATCTGTTGTGCCGTAAAAGTCACTTGGTTCCATGAAGAACTGGCCCAGGTGACGAAATTTTAAGTAAGCTATGGCCTCACAGTCACATGGGATATGACACGTCGGAATAGTATCCGAGTTGACCACTGCTGGTTTCTTCCAGATTCTTTCCAATTCATTATTCTTCATTCAACATATCATTCAGTGCTATTGAGTCTGATACTGAAAGCATCATAAGGTAACCCACAAGCCCCCCAACCCTATTGCAGAGATAATCTAGGTTATTATTAACATGAATAAATGAGACCTTCGCCAAGACTTACACCATCAAAAAGTAGAACAACAGAAAACAGTGACTGACAACCTTCGATTCCAGTGATTGAACGATCCAAGATCGTGCATACCTTCCATTGGTTCTCAAGGACGACCACAAGGGATTTTCATGGCTAAGAAATAAGTTTTCTTGTTGAAAACATTTTTTCAATCTTGAGACCTTGTAT